AAATATCAATAATACCACTCAAAATACTCCCCCCTCTGAATACCTCTCTTTGAATACTATCATCCTTGTCACTTTCTGAAGCAGTTGGCAAAGTCCACTTTGGTGTCTTTAGTTGAGCTGTTGTGGCTGCCTCCATGTCCTAAACCAATTCACAACATTTACCTTTCATGGTCATTTTGATTTTGGGGAAGAGCCAGAGGTCATACGGTGCCAGGTCTAGTGAATAAAGTGGATGAGGACACACCATGATGTTTCTATAAACCCACATTTCCTTTGGATGGCACTCAGCATTACTCACTTATTTTTCATCACACCTTGTGAAAACACTTACAAAAGAGACCTCCAGAACTGCTTCAGAAAGTGGCAAAATGATGGGATAAGTGTGTTTGAGGTGAGGGGGAGTATTTGAGGAGGATTAATGGCAATGTGTCTTTTATTGTAATAATTTTTTAAAAATTTAAACATTCACCGTGTGTTTTGATCTCCCCTTGTATATTGAAACTTTCACTCCAAGGTGAAGGTATTTAGGGGTGGGGTCTTTGGTGGGTGATTAGCCCTGATAAGTGAGATTACTACCCTTGTAAAATGGCTAGAGAGCGCCTGTTATCCCTTCTGCCATGCGAGGAAGTGGCAGGAAGTTGCTATATATGAGGAACATACCCTTCCCAAAGGTGGAATCTACTAGTGCTTTCATCTTGGACGTCTTTGCCTCCAGAACTACAAAAAACAAATTTCTCTTGTTTATAAATTACCCAGTCTAAGGTACTTTGTTAAAGCATCTGCAGTGGACAAAGACAGTGAGATAGCTCCACTGTAAGAACACAAAAGTAGAAGTAATAGCATGAAAAAGATAAACTGCATAAAGACAAACCAAAAAAAGTTCATATGAAACTATGAAACATTCTTAAAGCAAAAACCCCTATTAAATCCAAAGATTATATATTAAGAAGAAATTTAATTAAATGGAAAGATACATGAATTATATAGTGATGCAATTAGTAAGATAATTTCAAAATATATAAAGCAAAAAGTAACAGAAATACATCGGAAAATTATAATGGATGGCTTTAAAACAGAGTAACTGCTAGATAAAGCAGACCAAGCCAGTAAGATGTGGGTGTTGGGTATTTTGTTTCAGCAACAAGAAAATAAGATATATAAGAATAAATACAGTTAATCAAGTAGTTAATAAGCTAATAACATGAATAATTTAATAAGAAATTGAAGCATTAGTTTAAAACCTTCTCACAAAGAAAATACTAGATCTAGACAGTGTGAAAAGTAAAGATTTTCTTTTTTCTTTTTTTTTTTTTGAAGACACCTCAAACGTGAGATACTTGGAAATAATTCAGGAGAAGTTCAGAAAATACTTTTTTTTTTTTTTGTACCGGGGATCAAACTCGGGTCTTTGCGCTTACACAGCAGGCAGCGAAACCACTGAGCTAAATGCCCGGCCCCGAAGATTTTCTTTTTGACTAAAAAAAAATGTGAACTAGGAGTATAGTTCAGTGGTAGAAGAGTCCATGTTTAGTACATGCAAATCCCTTAGTTCAATTCCTGGCAATAATAATAATAATAATAATAATAATTCTGACAAGTTTTCAGAGAAGAGAAAAAGAAGAAAAGTCCAACTAACTTTCCAAAGCCGGTTCAGGAATACTCCATAAAGCTCCTCCCAGGATACTCTCCCCCAGCATTGTCTTGTATTTAAGGTCCTACCCTTGCACAACAGAGGTAACACTAACAATATTTCAGCTGATATTTAAGTAGAAAAAATTATATTTAGGACTCTGAAGCTCTATTCAGCATTTTCAACCTCTCTCTGCCCCAAAAGTATAGGAAATGCCTTGAGTCACATTACAAACACAATTGGTCAATGACAGCTTCCTGTGTCCGCACAGCACAAGACACGCTGAATACCAAGAAGGGCACCTGCCACACACAGGCTGCTGCTGACCCACGAGCATTAAAGCAGCTTCTTCGGTGTGAAACATTTTCTGGCAAATTCCCACAACGGCTTTCATATTTGTCCCACACACCTTCTTTTTTCTTGTTTTTTACAAGGAGAGGCAAAAAAAGCATTGAGAAAATGTCACAGCACTTTATGGAGAAGCAAGCAAAGCCAACCAGAAAAGCAATTACAATAAAAGAGACTATATCACTGCTAACAAAGCAATTATCTGTCCACAACTATATTATTTGGTGACCAGGAAGGAAAAATATGAAAAGGTACATACTAATCTTGGAGTTTTTATTCAATATAGGTCTATTTAATGCTGTTAGTTATACTTGGGGAAATTAGTTTGAGTGAACAAGTAACCCAATATAATTTTAACATTTAAATTAAAGGGAAATAGGTTCCCAGTTAATATTTCCGCACAGAACATCTGATTTTCAGAAACAAATTATTAACTAGCTATCTGTATAACTCTAACAGTAAAGACAGTATGAATAAGATCACTATAGTCCCATCCTGTCCATAAATATAACTAGAAGAATTCTGTTTGTTTATTTGTTTTTTGCTTTTTGGTACCGGGGATTGAACTCGGGTCCTTACGCTTTCGAGGCAGGCAGCAGAACCACTGAGCTAAATCCCCAGCCCACTAGAAGAATTCTGAACAAAATACTTTTTGAAATGGTGTGATTTCTTTCAGAAATGCAAGATTAGTTAAACATTAGAGAAGAAAAATTTTTTTTGGTACCGGGGATCAAACTCAGGATCTTGTGCTTGCAAGGCAGGTGGCAGAACCACTGAGCTAAATCCTCAGCCCTAGAAAATTATTAATGCAGCCCATCACATTAAATAAATTACAAGAAAAATCATGTTCATCTCCAGAGAGTCAGAAAAAAATTGAATAAAATTCAACATTCATTTATGATAAAAGAACAAGAATTAGCAAACTAGAAACAGAAACTTCCATAACACATTAAACATTAGGAAAGGCAGGAAAATGTCATACACATAAGCTGAAATATTAAGAGCATATTCCTTTATAATCTTTATAAAAAGACAAGGATGTCTGCTATTCACTCTGTTCAACATTGTTCTAGAAATCATAGCCAAGGCATTCATAGACAGACACACAGAAGTAAACGTTATGAGAACTGGAAAATACTAACACTTCTGTAGATACTATGATTGCTTAAGAAGAAAACCCAAAAGCAATCTACAAATTATTTAATATCAATATTTAAAAGCAATTGTATTGATATATATTATGAGCAAGTGGTTAGTAGCTTCTCTAAGGCCAGCACTGGTGGCTCACACCTGTAATTCCAGCACTTTATGAGGCTGAGGCAGGAGGAAAACAAGTGTGAGCCCAGCCCAGGCAACTTAGTGACTTAGAGAAACCTTGTCTAAAAATTTAAAATTAAAAAAAAAAGACTGAAAATGTAGCTCAATGGAAAAGCCCTGGGCTCAGTCCCCTGCACCACAAAATGAATAAACGAATTTAAATGACAGTCTTGGTGGTACTGTGTCTTCCTCCTCCAAACGTCCTCTCCCCCAGGACTCCACTGATTTCCTAGTGCAGGCCTGAAATTATTTACCTTGTTGTGGTCATTACACATTCGCTGTTCCTATATATAATCCTTGCTCCCAAGCTGATTTCGTTACCACTCAAGCTAGTTCTGGTGTGATGACCACAGGATTGCAGCATTGGGGATTAAACCCAGGGCCTTCACACTGAGCTATATCCCCACCTTTTGGATTTTTTTAATTTGGAGACAGGGTCTTACCAAGTCTCTAAACTGGCCAACTGTGCACCACCATGTTGGCTTTTATTTTTCTTCTTTTTTAAACAACTTTATGGAGATATTATTGAGATATAAAAACTATAAATATTTAATGTATGCAACTTTATGGATTAAGAGGTAAATCCCTTTTCATTCTTTTTTTTCTCCCATCTCTCCCTTCCTGCTGACACTGTGGACTTTGAATGAATCCCTGTGAGGATTTCAAGAAAGAAGATGTCCTTGTTATAGTGCAGCCTATCTCAGCGCCACTTCGGTCCCTTAAGGAGTTATGGTGATCAGAAATACAAACCAATTAACAACTTCCTCTTTGTTTCTATGGTGATAACTAATCAACTCCAAAATTTCAGCACAAAATCCCAGTTACCTACACAGTCTGTCTCTGCCGCTGCCCTGGCCTAAGGTCCCCAGCCACACACTCTACTCACTGTTCACCTCCAGACTTTCTACCGGCATCACTCGCTGGAAATGTGCCAGGTCTGAATGGAAACCTACTGGAAGTCTAAAATACACGCCAGCTTGTTAAGATTTATAAGGATTAGGATTAAAAATTGCGAAGTATCTCAATAATTTTACATTTATTGCATGTTGAAATAATAATATTTAGCATGTGTTGGGGTAATATTAAAATAAATATAACCTGTTCATACTTTTTATAATGTGATAATTCGAAAATGTAAAATTGCATTCATTGCTGGGTGTGGTGGCTCGAACCTGTAATCTCAGCACTCAGGAGGCTGGGGCAGGACGATTGCCCCTAGTTCGAGGCCAGCCTGGACTCTATAGTGAGTTCAAGGCCAGCCTGGACTCTATAGTGAGTTCAAGGCCAGCCTGTTTCAAAGAACCAAAAATAAAAGCACTGCTCTATCATTTTACCCTCTTTTGCGTCTTTCTTGGCTCTGGACGCTGGAATTGTAGTATCCATACTTTCACCATGTTAGTGTCTTTATCGCCCAACTAGAAAGTAGGACAGGTGGTAGGAGATCCAGACTGGATCTTTTTAAAAATCTTTCCCTGCGGAAAGCACTGGTCCCTTGATTGCAAAGGTGATCATGACGTGAACCCTGAATCCTCACATCCCTTCTGGGAAACCCGCCCCACCGCCCCAGGTTAAGCTCTTCTCCCTCCTGCCACACGATGGCACCCTAGAGCCCGGGAGCTGATGGTACAGTCCGTCTCCCGCCCACCCCCATACCGCTCGGACAGTGGGTCCTCCCGGCCGTAGAAAAGCATTGTGGGGTAGCGGCGCGGCCTTTCTGGCCTCCGGTGTGGCATTAGTGTTGTTCTCTGCTACGGACTCCGGCTTGGCTGGGGCTTCGGCCACGTGGCCTCCCGCACCCGGGTTCCTGGGCCGAGAAATGCGAGCTCCCTGAGCCCGGGGGATGCCCGCGGAAGGCAGCAGCCTGACTGGCCGCGTTCGTTCTTCGCCGGACCTCGGGAGGGGCCGATCTGCGTTCCCTTCCTGGGAAATGGAGAGATTTAGTGATTGCGATTGCCGGTAGTCTTAAACGTAAGCGGAGATTACTTTTTTCCGTGTGAGCAGAAAAGGCCTCACGGTGCCACTGGCCTTCTGCCTGCCCTAGTCCAATGTAAACGTGGCCAACACTGAGCCAAGTGCCGTTTGAGTTTGAGATGCCAATCATAACATTTGTGTCCAGGTGCAGAACTTGGCCGAAATTGAGTATCACTCGGTAGGTAAATTTTCATGTCAGTACAAGAGAAGACAGTTGCCTCGGGGATTAAAGAATTCTAAGGAACTGTTTAAAGACACTTTCAGTTTTCGTTACTAAATTGGATTTTGAACCCTAGAAGGTCAAGAGTGGAGATGAGTTAATTGTTCGCTTTAAAGTTGTCATTAGAACACTTAATCTCAGCAACCTTATGCCCAAGATGGATCTACCTCAGTTTTCATGTTGGCCTTTGTGTTGCCCGTTCACTTTTGAAAACTAGTGAATGTGGTGTCAAAAAAGGCATAAATAAATGCTTTGCAACCTTTTCCTGCCCTTATATTTGGTATATTTGGTGTAGGAGCTGCATAAGTAACAGTCCATGCGCTAATATGCACACATGACTTAAGTCGGCCCACATGAAATGGTTTTTCTTAACCAGTTTTAACTAATTTTTGTTCAGGTGGAAGATGCATGCTTGAAGCCAACTGCTGCTAGCTTATCACCACCTGGGAGCACAAAGGTGACTTAAGGTATGGTGACACTGAAGCATGGAAATTTTGTATTTTTAATGGGGGTGCCTTCTGTAGTATTAGTGTTTCATTAGCATTGATGCTATGTTTAGTTAACAAAGTAAAGTTAGCAAATGGGCCAGTCTTTTACGTGGAGGTTTTGCTGATTTTTCTGAGTAGGTAATATTGAAATAGTAAATATACATAGTACTGGCATTTTATTTAGATATTTATAGATTTATACATTTCTCTTTGTAGTAACATTTTAAAAATTTACCCAATCTCAGGCAGTGGTATGTTGGCTGAATCCAGAAACAGTGTAACTTTTCCAGTACTGAAGCATGTAATAAGGATTACTGGCAAGTTCTTAAGTCATAACACGTGTAAACACTTGTTTTTCAATTTTTTTTTTTTAGGATGTCTGGTGAGGACTTGGGAAATTTAATCTTCAAATTGCTTTGACCATTTAAAATTTCCAGGAGTCTAAGGAGTGCTGAAATAATTGCCTGTTATAATCCAGGAATATAATTTTAAGATTAAATATTTTGATGTGCTTCCTTGAAGTTTGTGTGTTTTTTAAGTACTTATTCCTGTGAATGATAACGTGCTGGCTAGACTAGCTGATTTCTGGGTCACAGGTATTCTTTACTCCACTCACTGCATATTTCTTTAAAACTAGAATGTACACTAAAGATTGGCTCTTCTCTTTAAATAGCAGGAAAGAATAAATAGTGTTTTCAGGCATTCAGAAAAATTTATTGAAAGCACTGTGCTAGGGGCTGGAAACACAAGCAGAACACAGTTCCTCCCTCAGGGAGTTCACGGCTGAGTAGAGGAAATTGAAATCACAGATGAATCCAGTGATAGGGTTTGACCAAGTGAGGGAAACCTGAGAAAGCAGAGTTGACACTAAAGGTAGGTGGCACTTTTGCAAGGCAAAGTTAGGGGGGTGATATGCAGAGACCCTGGATAAGAAAAAGGGTGCCTATAAGTCTTGGCTGACAGACTGGCTGCCTTCCCTCTTCAGTGCCCTGGTTTAGAGATATGTGTCACCAAATGAGTTGGAAGAGGCAGGAGGAGGCCAGGCCAGTTAAGGCTTGGGCTTTATTAAAAGCAAGGAATGGAAATCTGGTGGAAAATAGTTGAGAGCAGGTAGGCCAATTAGATACTACCTCAGTTGGACCTAGGCAAGACCAGTTTGGGATCAGTGGTGGTGAAATGAAAATAGAGCCAACAAATTAGTGATAGTAGTAGAGGTGTTTGTGACTTAAGCTTGCATGGTTATAAGCAGTGTTTGAGCTAGGTGAAACCTTTGAAAAATCCAAGCGGACTCTTCAAACACTGCTTTGTACACTGGGCTACAAAAATAAACCTTAAGGCTGTTGGGTAAAAACCTAGCTCCCAATAATGGAAAGGTAGTTAAGGTGGAGTGAAGGAAGAGGATGTTGCCAGGCCTAGGGGAGATTTTAACTGGGTAGTGGGGAGAAAGGTTAGAAGAGTTGAAAACACTGAAGTGCAATCCTCTCTAAAAATTTAGCTGAGAATAAAAAGAAATTGCAATTAGGGATTTGTGGCTGTGAAAGTTGGATTATTAGGTGGCAGTCACAGGTTTAACACCAAATGGTAAAGGTAACTGGTGAAAGGAAGAGGCTGAATACATTCTATAAGATAGAGCAGGAAAAAAAGGATCCTGAGGGAGACCAAGAGGGAATCCAAAGCACAGGTGGAGAGACAGGAAAGAAAGGGTGGAGGATTAGGGTTGATGCTACCTGGAGAGGACAGGACCGGTAAGGAAAGGATAAAAAGATGTCCTGCATAAATATTTTTATTTTCCCTGTAGATCGAAAAGATTCCCTGTGGAGGGAAAAGGTCTAGGGGAGCAGGCAAGTTAGGTGGCCAGGCAGGGTTGGGGAAATCCACACTTAGCCTTTTCTTTTGTTCAGAAAACACAAGACAAGGACACTTGCAAAATTAAATGCAACACTTAAAGCTTTTTACATTTGTAAATACCAGTGGAACTCAATGCCACAAAATAATACTACAAAGAACTTTTATATGAATAAAAATATCTGGTCTGAGAGTGATGGCACAGTCCTTGTGCACCTCAGCACTGGCTGAAAGCCACCTAGAGCTGAGAACACTCCTCCCACTGTTAGAGCAAATTCCCTGCAGGTCCAGAATGTTGGTCAGAAGCATCTGGTCTTACTTTTGGTGGACACAGACAAGCTACATGGAGTTGGCTGCTGCTCTTCAGGAAGGAGGATGTGGCATCAAGTAAGCTTTTACAATATTACTGTCCTTCCAGTTAAAGGCCCTTCCACACAAGTATGCTGTGGTCAGATCTTCAAAAGAAACAAAAGATGTTTAGGTTGAAGGAGCACTTTGCAGGTCTAAGACACTTGAATAATTATCTAATTCACAGTTTCACAAGTACCAGTGGCTCCCACTCCCTTCCCTGGCTTTCCCAGGATCATGTCTCTATCTTGAGGCGTGCAGCTTGGATAGTTTTTACTGTTTTTGCTGTGTGCTTTCCAGCCAGATTGCTTATGGATATCTGAGATTTTTCTTCAATCAGGCTATCTTTAGAGCCATTTCTTCTCTAAAAGAAAAATAATTGAAAAATATAGTTAGAAAATACAACCAATCCAGTGTTTTTAAAATACATCAGAAACTACTATGCTTTTTTTTAAGACATCAAGTTGCAATTCCAGAAACTTTGCTAATACCAAAAGCTGTTTGACATACTCCTTCAACTGCTAAATATGCAAAATAAACAACAAAGATCATATGCTTAATCTTGAATACGGAAAATAAGTCTAACAGTGGTGTGCATAAAAATCAGGCATAAGTTATGAAAACTAGACATAATTTCTAAAGAAGGGTCTTTCCACTTTCCTAAGGGAAGAGAGATGAGAATGGAGGGCTTTTGGGTAGTCAGTGAATTAAACAATAGCTTTCGCACAGTACAGTGTCTTAGGGGCCCTTATCACTTGGGGCTGGATCAACCTGTCAGATGGAGCGACAAGGTCTGCAGTCTGAGCCCTGCATTGTGAGGGGACAGGCTCACTGTTAGCAGAGCCTGAGTACATGCAGGACTTGGACACAGTCTACAGCCACAGTGAAGGCGCTGAGTGAAAGCTACTCAACATTTTATATGCATAGTTTTTTTGAAATATCTTAGTGATGGATGGTGATTAGTCAGGGGGTCTATAGCAGTTGGAAAAGCAAAATGCAATAAAATTCATATACTGAAACCAACTTAAATTTAATTGAAAGTTAACCATGCTCATTAGTTATCACAATAATCTGTTTTGTATTTTGAGACAGGCCAGACTTATCTATATAGTGAGACCCTGTCTCAAAAAAAAAAAAAATGCAATATGCTCAAAGCTACAGTAACAGAATGTAGAAATGAGACATAAGTAATCCAGGTTAGTCACAATGCAAAGCCTAAATTAATGAATATCATATTGAAAAGGTGCTATCAGTTTGAAATGAACTGTCTGCTTTGATAACATCTCTCCCAGCGTGACCTATCAGATAGTAGGCAGACTGCTGTAAAAGCCTTGATTGAGACTCAGAGCTCCATTCCAGACTGGGGCATTCGTTCCTCAGGTGCCCAGAGTATTGGCTGTTATAAGGCTCAGATCTAATCCCCTATCCAAGAACTGCCCTTGGCTGAGGAAAGTCACCTTACCAAGGTCCTGCCCTTCAGGAGCACCCCTCTGATGACTGCCATGGGGTGGGTGTTTGAGTGTGTCAAGGCCTAGCCCCATCCCCCTGTCCCAAGGTAGAAGAAATGTGAAGGACCATTCAGATCCAGAGTTTGCTGGGACCATGTACTGCCTTTACTGGAACTGCATTACACAGTTAAACTCTTGCCTCCAACCAAACATCTCCTCTTTTGCTGCCCAAGTGTCAATCCTAAGATATTTTCCAGTACACCTCCCGCGTATAAATCTCCATTGCAGAATTTGTTTTCATGGAAACTAAACTAAATTTGCTAAAGTTGTTTTGATCTTTGCTCAAGTCATTGAAAAAAAAAAAAAAAAAGAAAGCATGTGATGGATATCACCAGGGTCAAGCTTTATAGATGGTCTGTAAACTCCATGAGTTTATATGCAAAACTGTATGTGCTTACACATACTTTTCATGGAGACACAGTGGTTATAATTGGATTTCCTAAGGGACCCATGATCCAAACAGGAATGAAAACCACAGAATTGAAAACACAATAGGGTGACACTAATCCATCATAAACATCAACTTTGTTTTGGAACGGGTGTTTAACCCCTAAGTCCATCACACTGTCTTTGCAGCCCACATTTTTCCATCCATCTTATTAAAAAATATACCATGAAAGATGGCGTTGAAGACTTCAGACACACCTCTGTGACTGTGCCTCCCTGATACAACCATCTACTTCAGCTGAGTGCTTATTAGATTTCAGAGCAGGTAGGTGCTCAGTGACCTTGAGTTCCCTTTTAACCACATCTGTAAAACATCTCCAGGTGAAGGTAAGTCTCTGATGGGGAGGACAGAACTAAAAGAGCACTCCAGCAATTCTGTCGTATGTTAGTTAACAATAGAACTAATCTGCCCTCACTTCCTTACCCAATGAGTTTATCATTTTTTTGTTATTCCTTTTTATTTCTCTGGCTTGAAAACTAACTAAAAATACTTTTTAAAAGTTAGTAACACTATTGTTTCTTTATTCTAACTCCAAAAGATCTTACAATCTTGTTATCCTTGGCATTGCCCCAGGCTTCAGGTCATTAGAATGCACTCTACCTGTATCTTATTCCTAACATGAGTCTCCCCAGGCTGTGCCTTGGTTCTTGGTCAGTCTCCTACTGCCTCTTCTTTCTGTTTTGTGTATGTTCTTTTAATATATAGAATCTCAGAATGAAGTTAAAATGAGTCATCAAAGGAACTCCCCAAAGCATAAAATGCTTCTCAAAATTGTCAGTATGCCACCTTAAAACTTTATTATTACTCACCTGATGAACTGTAGAGCCACCAGAACCCTGAGCGTCTGAAGAACGAGTCACTGGAAGTGGTGGTACAAGATCTGTTTTTGAACTGCAGAGAGTAAAGTTTAGGATTAAGGAATGGGACAGTATGGTACCCAGAGTCAGAGCTTAAGTTCAAAGAGGGCATGGTGTAGATGGAACATTTCCATCACTGCAGGGAGCTTTATTGGCCTGAGCCATTCTGAGCATGAGGCTGGTGGTGATGTGCCTGGGCCACATACTTACTTCACTTCCGAGAGGACAGAGCGCTCTCCGTCTGAACACTGTGACCTGCGATACTGGCGGTAACTTCTTGGCGAGTGAGAATGCCTGATGCGGACTGGGTCACCCTGAGTCCTGAACAAGAAACCAAAAACAAATCAAAAAAATGGAAACAAACATACCAAAAATCACAACAGGATAATCTGGACTTTCCTTAATAGTGAAAGAGCAAACATCATCATCATCATCATCATAACTTTCAGACATTTCTAAAAGAACTTGACTGGGTTGGAAAAGAAGTTGAAAGCTTGAGACACTGAAATGTCTCATGTTAACAACAGAAAATGCTCCCTTGACCATACATGCAAACGGAGCTCTACTAGGATCTGTATGAAAGGGTGTGACGATGTATATTTTTAACCACCAAACTGCTTTGCAGTTGAATAATCTCCAGTAGTGTGGAAGAAAAATCCAGTAGTGTGCAGACAAAGTGGCATTCTTACCAGGAAAAGGTGGTCACTGTTCTAGCTGCTAACTATCCTGTCACGCAGAATTCAGTCTTCTTAGAAAACTGCTAAGACATGTTCTCACCATACTTACACAGAGGGTATACAAAGAAGTAGATATGTGAATTGGCTTCATTTAATTATTTCCCAATGTAGACATAATCAAGTGTCATACTGTGTACCATAAACATGTATAATTATACATTAAAAATTCACTGTTTGCCCTAAAGATGGTGGGGGCGGGGATACCAACCTGCAGTTTTTCTGGGTGGGAAAGAAACATGAGTTGCAGAAAGCTCTGGCTTTCAATTGATGATAACAAGACAGAAAACAAAGAAAATAGGGCCACTGCAGCCTGCACAGCCTGTTATAAGGGGTTCTGTTATGCTTTCATGAAACCCGTTCAGTTCAGTGTGCTACATATAACAGGGACTGTCTTGAACTTACGTGACAAGGTTTTGAGGTAAACAATTCTCCTGATGGTAAAATAATGGATAAAAATTAACTTTGTAACAATCAATGAATATCTCAGAAAAAGAATTTATTTTAAAATGGGTGTTAAATATCAAAAGCCACCTTATACCTACCACAAAGGAAATGATAGCAATTAGAGTACAGAACGAGGCTAATTAATTTTATTCTGCCCTTTTCTGCCTTTTTCCCTACACACACTTTAACTTTCATTGAAATGGGCAGACAGAACATGGCAAGGAACACAAGTGTAAGAATGAGTTGCTTCCTTAGAAGCACAAATAAAACTTCTGTGAAAAGATTTTTTTCGAAGACATACTCTAAGCTGGATATGGTGGCACATGCCTATAATCCCAGCACTTAGGCAGCTGAGGCAGGAGGATCCCAAGTTTGGGACCAGCACGGGCTACCTAGCAAGGTTAAGACCAGACTGGATTAGGTACCAGACCCTGTCTCAAAAAACAAACCAGAGGGCCGGGGATTTAGCTCAGTGGTTCTGCTGCCTCCCTTGCAAGCGCAAAGACCCGAGTTCAATCTCCGGTACCAAAAAAACCCAACCAAACAAAAAACCAAAATAAATCATACTCTATTTTAGTGTATGGAATCTCTTTCAGTTGCTCTTCTGACAATCCAGATGGGTCCACCAGCTCCTTTCTAGAAGGGAATAAGCAAGAAAGTAAAAGTTGTGATGCTGGTACACACACTAGTATCTTTTACAATCAGCAGGTGCGTTTTCCCCTTCAAGTATTGTCCCAAAATGCACTGTTAGTAAAATATTATAAATATAAACTAGGGGCAAAGATAAAACCACTAGAATGTGCTCAAGGAAAAACAGGAAGGTAAACCTTTTACTATCTTTCAGTTTTTCTACATCCACACTTTACAGCCATCCCCCACTTCCTGTGACAGATCTGCTTCTCTCCCCTGGGGCAGATGTCTCTTTCCCTCAGGATTGTTTTCCTTGGTATTGGTTTTTTTAAATATTGGCAGGCCTGAGATCCCCTACAGGGGAGCTAGGGGAGGTCAGTAGGCACCACCACTTTGTGCCTCAGCTACCACAGAGTGGTGACTGAAAACCAGCAGGCACGCTTCAGACTGAGGGTGCCTTCCCTGTCAGAGATCTTTCGTGTAACTGCATTAAAACTACATGGATTTAAAAACAACTAGGGCCGGGGATTTAGCTCTGTGGTTTCACCGCCTGCTGCGCAAGCGCAAGGACCCAACTTCAATCCCTGGTACAAGAAAAAAGAAAAACCAAACCCAATACTCACTGAATGTGCTTCCACAATTCTTCTTTTGCTTGGATATCGGGGCTTCTCCTATAAGTGAAGAAAACAATATTCACCCCTGCATACATGCTCCCTCTACAGTCTAACAGCAAACTTTAATAGTTTTTAGACTGTGAAGTCTTATTTGCCAGCTGAGACCAGACAAGGAAAGATCAGGTAGGGACAGCTACTGTGATGGTCAGAATAAAGACACCAGGCAATTTTATCTGCTGGTGCCACTGAAGGAAAACCACACAAAATCCAGCCACAAATGAAGCAGATCTTCATTTAATGAAAGAGCTTAGAACTGCAGGGCCGTGTCCACATAACCTCTGGTGACTGTACAATGAGAGTATTTCCGGGGTTTTGTTTCTGATCCTGCTAGTTATTTATAAGTAGAGCCAAAAGATGAACTCGTGGGCCAATGATTTAGCTCAGTGGTTTTGCTTCCTGCTGCAAAAGCACAAGGACCCAAGTTCGATCTCAAGTACCAAAAACAAAAGATGAACTGGTCCTGAACTTATTATTGTATAAAGGTCCCAACACGATCTGTGATCACCTAGTATAAGCAACATCCTCAAGGAAAAAGCAACTGGCGAGACAGCCCAGGCAGCGGACTATGCACCTGATTCATCTTTCACATGACATCTCACATCGTGTTTCTGTACCAAACCTGGGCCCACAAGGGTAGAACCTGCTCTGGCTTCCACTCCAGCTGCCGCCCACTCTATGCTGGTTTCCTTCTTTAACTACCGACCCCACAAATCTCTTCCTCAAGAATGACTTGAATAGGGCCGGGGATTTAGCTCAGTGGCTTTGCCGCCTGCTGCGCAAGCTCAAGGACCCGAGTTCGATCCCCAGTGCCAAAAAAAAAATGACTTGAATAGAAGTTATACCACTGTCTTTAACATCCTAGGGTAAGAAACCGAATCTCAAAAGTATTAACTATTAACCTCAACTATAGAAAGGAACACTAGAAATCTATTATTATTCTAATTGTTGCCACAGAACTTTTTTCCCAGTGACAAAATGATAAGCTTTCTTCACTCCCCTCAAGAGGAAAAAGATCTAAATAAAAGACTCAAAGAAAAGTCCCAAACCCTATACTCTGCCCGGTGGAATTTTACATAGATAATCTCTACCTGCATTTTGGGGGCTCAGTGTCACTTTCCACATATGATGATGCTTTCGTGTTTCTCAGTTAGTAAGAGCAGCACTGAGGCATTCTGGTGGGGTTTCCACTCAGCCTCTCTTTCTGTCTCCCTCTCAGGTGGATCTGGTGGTTTCCACCTCCTGGGCTCAAGAGATCTTGCCTCAACCTCTAGGAGTGCTGGGACTATAGATGTGTGCCACTGTGTCCAGCTAATTGTTTTTACTTGGACTTTCTATTCTCTGCTATTTATAAGCCAGGAGAATTTCTTACCTAAATTTTTAGGAAAAAATTAGGGTCTTTTTTTTCAATATATTAAAAAATGCTATTGTTTTAATTCCATAGGAAATATCTTTCATTCCTATCCAGAGTTAGCAGAAATGTTATCTTAACTTGAATAAGATCATCAGTCCTTTTATCCATAAATATTAGTCCTAAAAGATTCAAAAATTTATTCTATATATTTAAGTCTATATAGCATCATAATTTTTAACTATACTGACTTCTGAAATGCCCAGTAGTTTCAAATAGCTTAAAGCCAGGGACAAGAAAAAAGAAAGAGCTAATTTCCTCTGATAACTAGATCATCTGTAATTGAAAAAATAGGAAACATAAGCTACATGTTAATGAGGAAAATATTATTCTATGCTTACATCTGCACACCTTTAATCAACAATAAAGGATGACTTCATGATCTGCAGCTCAACATCATATTATGGATTTAGAAACCTGTGGAATTTTCAGTCATTCTTCTTAATTAAAAGACCCTTAATAATGCAGATGTTTTACCTAAACACTAAAGAAATAGAACCCTAAGTTGTCTGTAGTTATAACATATGTAAAAAATAAACATGCAATCCAGTATTGGTCTGTTATTTTCAGAAACACCCCTCACATACACCCATACAAATATTCCACTTTAAATCAATCACAGAAATTATTTTATGAGACCTCATTTACAAATCACTTTCCTTTCTTCCAAAACTCCCAAATTAGAACTCTTAAATTTACAAAGGATTTAAACTCCATCATTGCATATAATCTTTTTTGTACATCCTCTAAAGTGTCCAATTATCTAAGAAATGTTACAGAACGGCATGTTCTATATATTTTCTAATAATACGTAATATACTATATTTTGTATACTATACTCAATAAACATAGCAACATTTGACTTATTTTAGTGATCTTTACACCGACCACTGACTCAAAAGGAAACTCAGAATTGAAAACGTGTAAATTCACAAAATTATCTTTATTTAGAGCATTCAAAGTACTTAATAAATATTTTGGTAATTCTCGTATTTCTGAGTTGTCAAGAATAAATGTCTTATTTTCCCTCCTTCCCTCCTCAAATTAAGGAAGCATTAGGAAGCCTGAGCCCAGCAACCTAACTGATGAAAATTACACAGGCGTCATTTCCAGCAACTTCACATTAAATCTTTTCTAATACACCAGACTTCTATTTTGTGTTTAACTGGCCTCATCTACATTTTCAATAATTTTCATAAAACAGTAAGACATTATTGCCACCAGAGGGAGCCCAAGCCTACTCCTGCACACAAGTTCACCCTACCACAACTATTGTTTGAGCTTCAATGCCTTTTTGCAAATTCCAGTGAGTAAAGGTTCACTCATGCAGAAAGCAGGTTAAATAAAACCTTACTACTGTAAGCATCAATGGTATGGCAATGGACTAAAAACTGTGCTGGACCTCCCTCTACTTAAGAGTTTATCAGACAAGGTCCAGGGGTTGTTGTACTCTGTGACTCTAATATTTAATAGTGAATATCATTCCCTAGCCTTTTATTAGGGGTTTAAAAACCCATTCATTCATTGAATGAATCAATACATCGATACAAACAGTATCAATATAATATCAATATATCATCAATACAGTCTCAAAGTACATTATCACTTCTGACCCTCTGAGGTAATTCTACATGAGCAATTTATACAAATTGCAGCAGGATCTTAAGAATATGGGAGTAATTGAGAGATCAGTAGTTTACTATATATTTGAAATGGCAAATACATATATTTTATATATGCTATATGTAATACACACTTATATTTTATATGCATTTATATAAAAATTTTTAGATTTTCCTCACATACTTCTCTAGCTTTGTTCCCACTTTTAAAGAAAGCTGTAGTGGCTCCTAAATTCTCATTTTTAAGGACTTCTTGTAAGTTAACCTGCTCTAGTATCTTCACTTATCTCTTCATCTTAAGTAAAAAATTAAATAACTTGCAGTATTTCTAGAGATAAACTAACCAAGACCTAGAGTGATTAATAATGTAATTGCTATTGTATTTATTTGTCCCAGGCACTTTGCATATGTGACCTCACTTGGTGTTCAGCAAAATCCATGAGGATGGTATTATCCACGTTGTAAAGATGAGGAGCTGGAAGCTCACAGAGATAGGGTAATGAGCTAAAACTGGGAGTCTCAGGACCTGGACAGAGTTCTGACAACACCCTCCAGAGGGTATTTTTTCCACCATTGTCAATAAACTTCAAATTTTGACATCAAAACTTGAATAAAAAAGACGTCCCACTTTGTTCCATATAAAGCAATCTATCATTTTGCAGACACATTTTTATTCAGCTGTCCATTTCACATTTCACATCTCCATTTGATTTCCTACTTTGCATCTCAAACCTAACAAACAGAAATCTTGATTCTTTCCCCTACATATCTGCAGCCTATTCCTTCATTTCTTAGTAAAACGGCAGCTGCTAAGCTCAAACACCAAATGTCATCCATAATTCCTCTCACAGGACAGGCAGCTCTACTTCCAAAATGCATACTTATCTATCTTTTCTTTCTTTCATCTTTTTTTTTTTTTTTTTGACAGGGTCTCACTATGTAGCCCAGGCTGGCCTCAAACTCTCGACAATCCTCCTGCCTCAGGCTCCCAAGTGCTGGGATTACAGGTGTGCGCCACCATGCCCAGCTCACCACCATCTTTTCTGAGCTACAACCGCTTCTCACTTGGAACACAGCTTCTTCACTCTTTCTCAGCCTGCTTTCCATCCAGTCAGAGCAACTACTGAATGAACCACTCCTTACAGACTTCTTTCCTATATGACCTGCACTCTGGTGCTATCAGCTATCTAGTTAATTCATCAAGCTCAGTTACAAAATTACTTCAAACATTTGCTAAATCTTTTTATGGTTTGCTGACAAATAAATTGCAGAAAGAGATACATCTAACTCTTACTGGGGAAATGTCATACAACTGTAATGAGACAATCCCCTAACTGACCTGATATTTTATCACATAGGTAACATTACAGGAATGTTTAAGTAATATTTTAAGCCAGGTGTGGAGGTACACAGCTGTAAGCCCAGCACTTGGGAGCCTGAGGCAGGAGGACTGCAAGTTTGAGCCCAGCCTTGGCAACTTAGTGACTTAGTAAGACTCTGTCTCAATTTTTTTTTTCTGATCTTTGCTGATCTGATAGAAGCAATTCCCAATTTAAAGATATTTCTCCACCTCAGAAGAGTATTCCTCAACTCCTACTTCTTGTCACAATGGAGTAACTGGTATCAGACAAACTTTCCACCCTCAATAACGATACAATAAAACAAAATATACAAAGCAACTCTCTGCAGGCAGGCACTAGGCAGCACAAGCCTGTGATCTCTGAGAGAAGGGAAGCAGAAGGTGAGCCCCCAGCTGCTCCAGCTTTCAGTCGTGCTGGGGAGGTACAGCCCATGAAGCAACACTCTCACAGAGCTGAGGAGGCAGAGATGAGACGGTGGCTGCAACTCAAGTGCCAGATACAAGATAAAGAGAGGTGCTCCGGAGACTCCGGAAGTCTGCATGGGGGTTTTCCTAAAACACAGGCCAAGTATGTTTAGAGAAGATAATACGCACATGAGCAGGTGAGGCTCTGAGAGGCCTAACTGAGAACAGCTGCTACAGAGCCAAGAGTGAACAGAGACGCCAGGCAAGGTGAAGTTCTGTAGAGAAACCATGCTGAGCACCGTGTGCATTAAACTAAGAGCCCAGAAAGGTTACACTTTGAGTAAGGACCAGCCTATGACAGGAAACACATCTAGGCTAATGATAAAACCTAAAAAGTCCCACTTCGTGAAAGCCTAAAACAAGCCTGATAAGATCAAGGGGGATCCAATAGCAATTCAACTGTCTACCAAAATAAAATCTGACAGTTTTAAATAAAGATTACATAAGCTAGACTTCCTTTACCATTTCTTCTATAGTGTCCAGAATATAATAAAAAATTACTAGACATGCAAAGAGTCAACGAGATGCAGCCATTAACTAGAAGGAGGGGAAAAGAACAGTCAGTAGCAACAGACTTAGAGAAGATCTACACGTGGGTATGCAAATTCCTTCAAGAATACAAACTGTCAAAACCTACACATAATAAGTGGAAAATATGAATAGTGCCATTGTGTTAAAGGAACTGCATTTACAATTTTAGACTTTCCTCAAAGAAAATTCCAAGTAGAGAGTTTCATTGGTGAGTTATGTCAAATATTGAAACAATAATGCAGATTTTACATTAACTCAGAAAACAGAAGGAATATTTGCCAAACTAGTTTGAATGACCATCATAACTGTTACCAGAACCTGACAGACATTGCAAAAAAATTACAGATCAACATTGGGCTCATAAACTAGAAAAAAATCTTAATGAAATACTAACAGAATATAGCAATACGCAAAAAGGATAAAGCATCACAGCCCCAAGGGGCCTATCCTACGAATAAACAGATGCATCATTCAAAACTGAATCAATGTAACTCTGCCACTAACAAACTAAAGAAAAATTAACCCATGTAAAAGTATACAGATGCAGGAAAAGCTCATAACAAAACTGAAAATTCATTGATGATTTTTTAAAAAGATTTCACTAACTCTTAGCAAATTAGGAAAAGAAGGCATCTTCCTCAGTCTTAATGTGTCATGTTCAGTCCTTCCCTCCAAGAAAGAATAAGCCAAGGACATCTGCTTTCTTACCACTTCTCTTCGACATGCTAATTCAACACTTTTGGAGAAGCTGGCCAGTACAATAACGTGAGAAATATAAATACAGGGCAGAAGATTAGAAATAAAGGAAAAAAACCTCTAATTACAAACATGGACTGTAACTTAGAAAATACAAAATATTTCCGCAAAAGGAGGGCAAGCTTCTAGGCCCAATTAATGAATTTAACAAGATTGAAGGATGGCAAGATATCCTATCAGTACTTTTTAAAATCACATTTTTCTATATACTCTACTGACAAACAATTGGAAACAAATTCTAAGAACATGCAATTCAATACCATTAAAAATTTTGGATATTTAGAATTAAATTAAAATACTGTAAATACAGTAACTACTGAAAATTATAAAAAGCTGCTAAAAGAAGTTAAATACATGGATGGGTAACATATTAATTTTTTCTAAACTGATCTGTAGATTGAACACAATCTTAATCTAACATCTATAGTGCTTTTTGGGGTGGGTAGTAAAAACTGACAAGCTGATTCAAAAATTTACATAAACTAGCTAAAACCATCTTAAAAAAAAAAACGAACAAAAAAGTTGGGGGTGAGCCAAGTATGATGGCGCACACCTGTAATTCCAGCACTCGGGAGGCTGAGGCAAGAGGATCACCAGGAGTTCAAGGTCAGCCTGCACTACATATTGAGACTCTGTCTCAAAAAAGCTCCCCCCTCCAAAAGGTGGAGACTACACTGATTCAAGTTGCACTAAAAAGCTACAGTAACCAAGACAACATGGTAGCATAGAGGTAGATCAATAAAAATCAAATAGATCAATAAAACAAAATTGGTCCACACATACAGTAAGAAGTCCACTGATTTTCGAAGAAAACCTCTCAGGCATTTCAATGAAAATAGTGTTTTCAGCAAATGGTACTGAAATAGCTGGGTAAGCACAAGGAAAGATCTCTCAATCTCTACTTCACACATATGGAACAATTCATTAGAGATGGATCACAGCCCTGAATATAAGAATAAAATCTACAAAGCTTCTAGGGAAAGATTTGAAAGTATATCTGTGACCTTGGGGTAGGCAAATACTCCTTAAGATAAAACAGAGGAGGGCCAGGGATTTAGCTCAGTGGTTCTGCCGCCTGCCTCGAAACTGCAAGGTCCAGAGTTCGATCCCCGGTATCAACAGGAAAAAAAAGGGAAAAAAAAGACTTGACTACAAAAAAATAAGAAGACAACCACAAAACCCCTGATATACTAATTTTTATCAAACTGTAAACTGTGTGGTCATCCAAACACAATGTTAGTAACATGAAAAGGCCAGACATAACCTGGCAAAAAGTATTCACAATATATACACCTGAAAGGACTTACATTTGGACTATATAAAGAACCCTACAAATACCAATAGCATAAAAAGTAACTTCTGCTTTAAATTGAACAACAGTTTAATTAGATTCCCCACAAAGACACATGGGCCAATAAATAAATCCATAAGAGATTATACTGCTTAGTGGTAGTAGCAGGTTTTCTATCACAAAAAAGTCATTGCTCATTAATGCTGTATTACTGATAAGAAAAAAAACATTCTGGGTTAAGTTCTAATCAAAAGGGAAAAGCATCTAAGGCAGAGTCCCATGAGGGTATCCTCTGAATTCCTTCCCTGGACTCTGTTAACCTGATCTTGAACCCTCTTGCCTGTCTCCCTCAGGACTCCCCATACACCTAATCCAGTTTGTTTCTGGCTCGACTTCCCAACAGCCTTCCACTGTTTGATCCCTCCTCCCATAAGTTTTGGTGTTTTGTTTTTTTCCGATACCGGGAATCAAACTCAGGACCTTGCGCTTGCTGGGTAGGTGAGGCGCTGCTAAGTTACATCCCCAGTCCCCCTCTTCCCATAAGTAAGCAATGCCATACATCTTACCACTTGGGATCACAAAAGGATCTGTAGATAGTCCCAGGTCACTGGAAAAGGATACTTTGGGAAATAGAGTAGGGAGGGTGGCCTAAATCTTGAAGCACAGATTAAACACACATACATGTGTACACACACACACACACAAAGCAACTATCAGCTTGAAGAAAATTAATTTGGGGGACTGGCAATCTCACTATTTTGTGTAATTGTGCTCACACATGGCATTGCCTAGCAACAGGAGGAGCACGCAAATCCTAACATTGGGGTATAATGAATCACTCACTGACTACTGATCACAAATGGTAATTTGATGGGAAGACATTCACATCTTGTTCAATCTGGAACAAGACTTCAGAGAATTCTGCAGACTCAAATTGAGAGAAGCGGCAGGTATTTCACTAACAAAGGAGACTATTCCTATTTAGCCAGTTGGAGACATTCCTATTTAGCCAGCTGGATGTATGCATTTGTTTAAAAATAACACAAACCAAACAAAAACATGGTTTTGATAGCCTTGTTTCCATGACATTTTGTTTTGGCTGTGCTCCAACTTCAACAGCTTCAAACAGTTAATGAATTTTATAATATAAGAGGGTAAATATGACAAATAAACAATGGCATAATCAGGGTTGACCAAACCACATCAGAAGAACCAAGCATCCACATGCTACTTCAAGCTCAGTGTGTTTGAATCAAGGTATAAAAACCCACATACGAGCGAGATCGGTGTCTGGATCGCCTGCTGTTGGGGTCCGACTGGCTTTTTTCCTTTTGTCTCCGTAATACAGCTTCCCACTGAGGTGCTGAATCAACCATATCATTCTCCTGCCGTATTCTGAAAAGCAAAATCATTCATCTAAAGTTAATATCCATACTCAGTGCCTTCTTTCTTGGTTCATCCTAAGGTTGTTTTTAAAGTTATTTAAGCAGGAGCAATTTTATTATAATCACTCTAAGCTAAGAATGTGTTAACTGAATTTATGTTTGCATACACACAAATGTAAATACGTAATAGTCACAATTAAATATATAAAAATATACTAGTCATGAAAAGACTTCTATGTGTCTTAAACTTTTCTAAGAAAAAAGTGTCAGATGACAATTCACTTAAAAACAGATTTAAGGGCCAGGGATTTAGCTCAGTGGTTCCGCTGCCTGCCTTGCAAGCACAAGGTCCTGAGTTCGATCCCCGGTACCAAAAAACCCACAAAAAACCAGATTTAAGTTTTTGATGATAACAACAGTAATCTTTGACTTAAACTTTTCTAAGTAAAAAAAGTCCAATAAAAATTCATTTAAAATATATTTAAGTTTTCACAATAGAAACAGTGATATACTGCTACAGTGCCAATCTTAAACTATGAAACAAACATATTTAAATGTTGTTATGGCTTCTGTCTAGATGTCCCCCCCAAAGCCTCATGAGGCCATAGGTGGGGCTTTTTCAGAAGTGGCTGGATCTAGAATGTGTGACACTAGAATTGATTCAGGGTGCAATGCCAGGCCCAAGGGCACTAGGATGAAGGGTGTGAGTGCCACCCACCCTTGCTGGTTCTCGCCTGCCTGCTTGCAATGGACTGTTGCCCCTCTCCCATGCCACCCTGCCTTGGAGCCCGCTGATTATGGACTGAAACCTCTACAAGCTGTGAGGTAAATAAACCTTTCCTCCTTTAACTTTGGGTGTTGGTTATTTCATTTCAGCAAGGAAAAAAAGGCAACTAAGACAAATGTGCTAGTTAAAACAGCAGTAAGTAATTTTACTTTGAAATTCTCTTTAAAAATTCATAGTAATGTCAAAGTTATCATGGACAAGAGATGCTATTTTGTAAGACAGAATTAAAACTGCAAAAGTTAACTCCAGTGGCAACTCAGGCTAACTCAGCAGCTGAATAAGCCTGCACCATTCTGCTGTGGCTGCCCACATGTGGCAGAAGGAATGGGGGTCTGACACCTGATGTGTCCCCAGGAAGGGAATGTAAATGAGGGAAGGAAAATGGGGAGGTGGTATTGGGGAGCACAGGCACTTGCATGGGAGCCCAAGGACAGTGTTATCAAATACTGTCATTTTAAAAAAAAGATAATTCACAAATCTTGACTTTTATAGTCAACTTTCCCAATTTTCAGGTACTGGCAACCAATTCTGAATTTTAAGGCACTATATGGACCACAACCTGCAGAAGTTTTAGACTTTTGATGTATCAAGTCTTGCTAATAATGAGGTGAGCTGTTGGGGGGGGCAAGTATTTAACTGAAGTAAGCACTTAATTAACGTGTAAATACTGTCTCCAATGCACTACAATGCTGCTGTGAATCTGTAAATATTCCTTGAAAAAATCAAACACCTGTTTAAGTGAATAATTAACTTTTAATTTATGTAAGCTCAGCAGGAAGCTGCCCTAACTGGGCATCTCCCTGAGTGGAGAGCAGCTCAGAACTGTCAGGATCCCAGCCCGTACTGTGACAGCCTGAGCACCACGAACGGACGGAGGCAGAGGCACAGTCATTACTCTGGAAAGACAGTGTGGAAACAGACAAATTTGTGTCATTTCTCTAAGAACCGATGTCTTTTCAGCTCCTCTGTTCCAGCACTTACTATAGCCCATAGGCTGCGCAGCCGGGTTTGCTTGTAAGTGCAAAACAGTGAATGGTGAGAAATACTCATTTCACATAGAATTTAAACAAAGATAATGTGAAGCAAATTCAAGTTGAAAAGAACAGAACCTTATGAGGAAGAAACTACTTAAATCTGTAGGTTAAAGGGGAACTGTGTTCAACAAAAAATTATCTGAAACATATGCCAAGCCTTTGAAGTGTATCTATTTCTTCACTAAAGTTTTCATTTCTAATAGGCTATTATTTGAAGAGTAACAGGAAACAGTCATGGTATTTTTCACAGATTTAAGAGTATAGTTCTCTCTTTTCACTGCACATACAGAGTAAATTAAAATTGAACAAATGCTGCTATGGACCTTAACATTAGAAATATTTGAAGAAATGTGAGACGGTATACTACATGTAGTCGTCATTATTCATCATTCTTTGGAACAAACACTCCCATTTTAAAATGCCATATGGGTGCATGCGCACCCCCTTACATGAATGTGCATGCACGAGAATAAATACACAGATTCTCATGGCCAGAACCTACACCTGCAAGCCTTTCCAGTGTCTCACATGATAGTCAGGAACCCACCAGACCTGCTAGGAACAGCAGTTCTGGACGTTTCCAGGGCTGACGGATCAGGCTGGAAGAGTCAAAGGGAAGGTGTTAGGCTGGCAAGCAGTGACCTCTCCTTCCACAGGAAGCCCCAGCTTGACTGCTGGATCTCAGATCAGACACAAAATCCAGGTATCCTAACTCCTAACCCTCGGGGCTTTTAGACTGTAGCTTCCATTCCGAATGAAATCACTATACAGGTTACAGGCAGGATTAATTTTACAATGTGAAATATATGTTTTAAATCAGGAAGTCGGGATCATTAAATATTTTTGAAAATTCAAACCAACTAACAAACCAAAAGCCTGACTTAGGCAAACACATACTTTTATCAGAATGCAGACATTTAAAGGGAAGCACAATTACTGTGTGTTCATTCTCATTTACTGTGGGATTATCAGATTAACTCAATACTCAAGGCTTTACTGTGATGAAAAAAACCAAACTCCTGAGATATATACATGCATATTTCTTTTACCTTGCTTATGATAAAGACTAAATCAAAACAAATTTAAGATTATAGCATGTACCTTTAACTTACTTTTCTAATTGAAATTCTCAACTGAGGGCAATGAAACCCAGTCAGCTATTATCCTTGTGACCCAAGAGCTTTAAAGACAGATGCCCTCTGCTGGCGATGCCATTTCATAAATATTCTAACAATATCCATTAAAAATGTAAGACCCTTTGGAGAGTCACAACAGAAGCACATTTTCCAGAGTAATGATGGTGTCACTACCTCAGTCTGTAATGAAGTTTGAAATTACACACTTACAAAAGGCCCCTGGTTAATGGTGCCTCATTACAAGAATGGAAGTGTCACATCTTCCATTGCTGAGCTGCTCCAGAAAATACAGGTGCCGCTTGGAAAGACAAACTCCTGACCTTCAGAAGAAGACTACTGTAGCATTCAAGTCCTTATGAGGCAAGAGTTACCTATTTTATGTATGAATGAATAAAGAAATCTCTAAAGGAAAAAGACATGTCTCCTAAAATAATTCTAATTTTTAAGTCTTATTCCTAGTTGTGGGATATACAAGTGGGGCTTTTTTGCTTTGTTTTAGGCTTCTTTCCTGCCTTATTTACTTATTCACTGGCACTGGGGACCGAACCCAGGGCCTTCACACAGAGCTACATCCCAGCTCTGTTTTCATTTTTTGAGGCAGGGTCCCACTGAGTTGCTACGTTGCTGGGCTAACTTGAGATCCTCTCAGAGTGCAGGGATTCCAGTGTGTACCATCACACTTGGCTATGTTTGATGTAGGGATTTATATAATGAAGAATAAAAATACTGCAAAGCCATGTGTTGACAGTGAACCTTTTAAAGAGTCAAAAATCTGCTTTTACATCATAATTATAAAATTCTCAACGGGGAAAAAGATTCTATTGTAATTTATACTGCAGATCTATTTATTTTCAAACACTACAAAAGATGAACCTCAGAAAACCACCAAATATGCCTTCCCTGTCCCCTTAGACCCTGTAAGTCTACATTTACTATATGCTGCCTATTTCCCCATCTACAAAGATAGAGAGCAAACAGAGTAGGAAGTACACGTAACACGGCTTTTGTTTTTTAATTAATGTATAGGGTGAGGGTTAATTTCAAATATAGCAAATTCTAACATTCCAGAATAGAAGAATCCAATTGTATTTTCTAACAAAACCTTTACATCCTGCTTCTCTAGACTATTCATCCAACTTAGATTTGAACTGCATCTGACACTTAATTAAAGTTTGCCAAGGTTTTGAACATGAAATGCCATATAATCGTTTGATAACAATAATAAAGATAATAACTATTCCTGATCTCTCTTTTCTTCCCAATTATAGTTCTGCCTCTTCTGTAAAATTCTTCACATTACCAAATGAGTTCTTACACAAATCCCCTGGATTTCACTTTGTCCTCTCTCTTTATCAGTTTTGTTCCTAATAGGACCTTTCTTTATACCAGTTCTTAATTTACTTCAAATTCGCTGAGATAAAGGCCATGATTAATGCTAACCCTGAGCAGGCTTTTTGGAGCACATGTACAAGGTAGCTTGAAGCTGATGTGAGCAGCACACTTTGTTCTCAAGCTCCATCTATTCCCAGCTGTGCCATTATCCGATTCAGAGACTTTGGGCAAATTGCTGTCTCCTTTGGTCAGGTCTCAGTTTCTTCATGTACAAGATTATTGCAAATATCTTTTCTAGTTTTAAAACTCAGCGTTTCTCTACTTGTATTTTATTTCCAAGCCAAGCAGACACACTGAAGCAAACCTGTACTCCAACTGCAGTGTAACATTCCAGACCACTGCTTCATGTGACCACTAAAAATTAAACCAGCAGGTCCCAACTGATGGTGAACTTGTGTTCTCATCAACTGCATTCATTGTTGGATTGCCTGCTCCAGAGTAATCTTCATTTTTTTTTTCCAGTAGTTTTTCTTCTCTAGGAAAATTTATGTTGGTTCCAGGCATCTGTGGATATGCTTCCCAAGACCAGCAAGCAAAAAATTCATTTACTTTTCCCACCTCCACCCTACTATCAATAAATTATACTTATTTGCTCTTAAAAGGGTTTCCTTCTCTTCCACTTTCTCCTTATGCTTCTGTGACTAAAATGGGCTACCTCTGT